ATAGGTACACAGAGCTGGGGACTTAGAAAGCCCAATTTGATCTATTGATGACTAGATCTTCGAGTCGAAATGAACGTTCACTCTTCACTGAGTGATCTCGGGAACGCAGCCCGGCAGCCGTGCACCACAAATTTTGTACACCAATAAGCCCTGAATCGAACGCCTTGGATCTTTCTGGACATCCACCAATCAGCCGTAAATGGAATCTGCTATCCGTAACCGATCATTGACATCCTTCTGCTTTTAATATTTTGAGCTCCACACCCCCCAGACACGAGGTCGAATACATAGTGGCAAAGCAGAGAGTTTTTTAGACTCTCCCTTAAGTTCATACCAGCATTATCATACTTAAGAAATTGGTTTAAATCTTGAGTAAATGAGGAAATTAAAAATGAACTAATTCTAAAAAAGCTCTGGTTTGCCACTATGCCCATAGTGGCAAAGCAGAGAGTTTTTTAGACTCTCCCTTAAGTTCATTTTTGAGTCCTATAAGTAGACCAGTAAAGTATCCTGGATAGTGGATACCAGCATTATCATACTTAAGAAATTGGTTTAAATCTTGAGTAAATGAGGAAATTGAAAATGAACTAATTCTAAAAAAGCTCTGGTTTGCCACTATGGTCGAATAGCCTAGGGTTGAATGGCCGTCCACCACTGAACGTTGCGTCGAAGCATCACTTCATACCCTGGCCACCGCTCGAATTGGAACTTGCGCACAACAGCCTGTGACCACTTGGCTTTGCACACCTCCGGCCTCGCATAAAACCTGCCGTGCACCACCTGGCCGTCGGTCGAAAGAGCCGTGCGACTCACGGTGCGAGTGAGTGAGTGCGACTGGCTGAGTCAGGTTAGGTTAGGTTAGGTTGGGTTAGCAGTCGGCTGGAGCGTTCAACCGAGGGCTGGTTCGACGCAATGCCTAGATACGGACGGCTTGGTGGCGGATATCACATTCGCTGCAAGGCTCCGGCGCGCTACGTCCGAGTCCCAGTGGTGTACAATTTTTTCGCGGTACGGCGGACGATGCTAGGCCATTCGATCGCCGGAAGTTTCTCCTGAGGGCTGATTGGTCTAATTCAATTGATTCCTTCTGTCTGGTGGCTTTCGGCTGCCTTTATGATTTTCCAGAAGTGTTGAACTTGAAGGCTACGTTCCGGAGGGCAGGAGTCATGATAGACTTGATAGTCCATTACATCCAGGGCAGTGGTGGTCTTCGGCAGGCTTCCCAAGTTCCCAGTGATCTCGAGGCAATCCCAAGTTCCCATTCCCAACAGCAGTTCACAGGATCACAGCCTCACGCTCACAGGCACAGCGACAATGAAAATGAATGACTAAGACGAGAAGAATTAGGTACGGATTCGGCTACAATCAGCGAAAGTCGATCCGGATGGAAGGCTGTGAATTTTTATTCTAGGACTTACGTTAACCCGTCATCTTCATTAGCAGAACGGAAAAGTACCTACAAGCTACATTCTACAAAGAATGGAATCTATCGGCATCTGATCACATTCAGCAGGTGAGCAACACGCACACGTCCGCCAGTCGTGCAGGACCTTCAAAGTCCAAACACGTTGCTTCCGTTCCATGCTTTAGGGCTGCTGCAGATATTGCAAATTTAATTTTATGTATTCTGTTTGGTGCGTATTGCTCCTTTAGTTTAATTGATACTTTATAAAGTAAAAATTATGAATTACGAAACTTTGACCTCTTAAAAATGTTAGGTAACCTTTTAGCCTTGACATATTTTGGCAATTAAATTTGTTGAAACATTAAAACTTACATTTCTGTCTCTTTGGATAACTGTAAAAAAATTGTTCATAATATGAACTTTCTTAACATAACAGTCATTATTCAACTTAATTTTGATGTGTGATCTGATATATTATCTTGGTTAAAAATCATGAGTTTACATATATAGAGAGAAGATATACAAAGTATATATATACAAAGTATATATATAGAGAGCAGTATAATAAATTTATTCATTAGTATTCGTATTTACATTGCCTACGATTATACTGCAAACACGGGTTCGAATGAGGAAATATTTCATCATGATTAAAAGTAATTTATATATTATTCAGTAGCTTTAGAAAATGAATAAAGTTGTTTAATAATGTGCAAATTATATATAAAAAAACTAGAGTGAGAAAATCATCTTGGTGATAAGTACTTTCTGAATTATAATCGTTGTTTATATGATTATTGAACGTGTTGTGATAAAGTGATACATTACATGACCATCAAACTTAAAAATACGATGCCGAGTTTTAATATAAAACATAAGCAGTTATAGTTTTCTTGAGATGACAGAGGATCAAAACACCGTAACTAAACAGTAATCTTGAATACTCTTTGATAAGGGTTCGTCCTTTGGATAATAGGTAGAAATAGACGAAATAATGGCATGAATGTTAAATCCTGAATAGCTATGCAGGATCTACCCGACCTCAGTTCGCAATCCCGGGTTTACGACGAAGAGAAATTTTCTACTTGATCTGACTGCCTGATCATAAGATCTCGATGAAACAATTACTCAGCTGTCAAGGATACAAAACCGAAATAATGGCATGAATGTTAAATCCTGAATAGCTATGCAGGATCTACCCGACCAGGCAGTTCGCAATCCCGGGTTCACGACGAAGAGAAATTTTCTACTTGATCTGACTGACTGATCATAAGATATCGATGAAACAATTACTCAGCTGTCAAGGATACAAAACCGGTTTACACAAATTATTTCCTTTTTTTCGTTTTGCTCTTCTCAAGAACCTCGGAATTTAATCATTTTCAACATAATTTATATACATTTTGCTTTTCTTTTCTCGTCTTATACCATCGTGAAAATCCGTTCAGGATCGCTAGTATACTGGTGGTAGACTAGCTACGAAAACGCAGTGGACATAGAAATTTAACACTTAACAAAGAAATTCAGGGCCCATACCTTCAAAAAAGTTAAGAGATCGTAAGTTCATCAGCCAATCATTGACGGCCTTTCAAGCAAAATCCACCAATCATAGACAAGAAAATAGAGCGTAAGTACTTACGTTCACTTAGCGAGTTTTGAATGTATGGCCCCTGGCCTGGGAGACTGAATTATCGAACCTAAAAGCGTCGAACATTGTAACCCCAGAAATGATAGCTAACGAAATCTCACAATGAAGCCTCTTCAAAACCCCGAGAATTAACAGCGTTGAAACCCAACGCTCGACTGCCTCCTTAATTACGGGACACAACCAAACCTTTTTTGATAATGTAAAGTAAAATTTTTTGTGACTTGTGGAGTTCGAAGGTGCATCGTGGCCTGCAGTCGCACTACGTGGACATTAGGTGACAATATTCAAAGATTCTGAAAAGGGCGTTTTTTCATACCGTGCGTCACGGCATTTTATCATAAGCACAAATTGCCTTGATTCTGAAAATGGTATCACTTATGCATAGACGTGAGGAAGGATCACGTTCATCTATTCATTCTATTGGCTGCAGGCTTCTCTGCCGAGAATTGGTGAATATTACCATTATAAAATACATCTTTCTGAATAATATTCTTCATGATGCAATAATGATTATGTAGGGAAAATATGTCTTTTTACAGGTATATTGAATCTGAAACCATTACGATGGTGGTATGCTCATCGCCTGAAACCATTACGATGGTGGTATGCTCATCGCAACGAACCCCTCATTTGCCCGAAAAATTTCATGTTTTTCTTTGCTCCGGCCAGGGATCACAGACAAGGTATTCACTGTCCCAAACTTGCAATCGACGACTTCTGACTAGAGGCTCAGAATGTTAAATTACGTAACACTCCAATGAAAATTTTAGTGAAAAATATCACTCTTGGAAAGATATACTTTACTTTACATGAGCTTTTAGAAGCGGAGGGTTAATTTTCAGCAAACAGCGAGTAAAAATGATTAAACTGTTATACTAAGGTTATTAGTATTTTAGATATTTAGAAGTCATGGTTGAACTAATCAACCTTTTGTAGAAGTGTCGAAATTTTAACCTATCTTCTGTACAATTTATTTCGTTCTGAGTGTATAGAACTATAGATGGTGAGCACAACGAAACAGGAACGTCTCTGCAAGAACATTAATAAGAAGCTACATTGGGATCAAATTGAGTGGAGGAAGAAAAGAGTCATATACAGAAACGACGAGGAGTTGACGACATGTACTGCTATTTACTTGAGAAAAGTATGTCTATTATTTAATTTACTGATCTTAGGTTTATAGGAATGTTTCCTTCAAGTTTTATACCGTTTTCTCGGACTAGAAAATTAATTGTTATCATTGTACGTTAACTTGAAATGTGTTAAATTGAATGTTTTGCCACGTACGAAAATTGTGGTTTTTCTTCTTGGGAAACATGCAGGCTTTATATTGTGTGTCTTCTTTTAAATAATTCTAACGAAGTGCAAACAACAAAAGTTTACAAAGCAACTTATACTCTGCCAAATAGTCCGACCAAATGCAAAATACTTACAAGCGCTCATTACTGGCAGGTAAGGAAATGCGAGGAGGCGTACCTTGGTCCCAGCGCTCCAACGGGGTCCCGAAGATCCGTGCTTCGCAGTTCGCACTTCGCAGGATCAGCGTTGCCAGATGGTATATTTCTACACCAGATTTCACAAATCTGGTATTTTCAGAAGGTGTCTGGTATGAATATTTTAGGTCTGGTATATTTGAAACGGAAACAGTGTCAATGTAATCAAACACCGGAAAGAAAAGTGTCAAAATGTTCCAAAGAGAGGGAAAAATATAACGTGTTCAATTTAGCTAATTATCGTCAAGCCAGATAAATGCACAGTACATAAGAAAATTTTCTTTTTCTAACCAACATTTCTGACGGATAGTTTCATTAAATTTGGAGGTATTAGTCTCTTTTTGAACAATAGAATTTCTGGTATATTTCTGGTATTTTGGGCTAGGCAATCTGGTATTCTCGCCAAGAAAAAACCTGGCAACACTGCGCAGGATTCAGTCAGTGTTGTGTTGGCTCTTGACATGTGAGGGTGTGTGGTGTGTCGTGACATTCTTACGTTGGTTCCTCCTTTGAAAATTGTGACACCACTTCTCACTTTTTTTCTTCAGGATTAAGAATAAATTGAGGTAATGTAATCTGCATATTATTAATTATAATAATCATCGTTTTTTTCTGATTACATAGAATATTTGCATGTTCATAATAAAATAGTACATTGTGAAAAATTAACGCTTCAGTGCTCATTATATTTTAATGCATTAAATGCCGATCTGCAGTGCATGTAGCGTTTTCACGGGCAGTGGCATCACTTGCTTCCAGCTTCATGTTTACTAATTAATTCCGATAAATTGAACTCGAAAAACATGTCAACAGAGATGTTTAATGCAGCATTTTTGTGCAGTAAACTTCTGCACCTATGTGTACACATTACTACTTCAGTTTCCTTTTAATTATTACCTTATATCAGTGTCTTGTGAGTAAGAGACGTATTAGCTTGAGTGGTGTGCGCAACAAGTGAGTGTCATGGAACACAGGTTAGGTAAGATCTGCTCCCGACTCGCCTGTGGCAGCCACCGTGCGCTGCCTGGGCTCAAGTGATGACGAATGGTTAGGCTTCAGGTTTTGTAAATACAGCTCAGAAAAAAAGGTTGTACTCAGGGTCCGCTGGGCTCTGTTTAATGATCAATTTGAATTTTTTCCCAAGAACAGCTCATGATGTATTGTCCTTCAAGTTTAACTGAATCTAATGCTAACGCGTCAGCCGATGTTGTTAAGTTTGTTAGTATTATACATAACGAGGATGCATCGCTGCTTCACTGTCATATAGAGGCTAATGTGCCAGAAGACGATGCTTGCCAGTGAAGCACAAAACTTATTTATCTGTCAGAGTAAGGCGTTCATTCTAAAACTGAAGGCTCTATATCAAATGAACTAAGCCCAGAATCACGATATTATGGAATCCTATAATACAGTTCTCGAGTTTTGTCAGTGTTTCATGAAGTAGGGACAGGGGAGGCGCTCTTGAGGACACAAGTCTCTCAAGTCGACCCAACTACAACGGAATAGTTTAGTTATTACAAAATTAATGGTGGATTCCCTCGATATTACGCGTAGTTTTATATTCTGTTTTTCGTTACCTGGATGTGACGCCATCGCACCTAATTTTTAAATGTGATGCCGGCGACAGCTGCGGCTCTAGTACGGCCATCACTTGGTCCTCTTCATACACTTTGATGTTATTCATGGATTTTCATTTCATTTCTGAACTCTTCAGTTCGAATATTGATTCATAATTTTGTTTCTGAATTATGAGTTTTGTTTACTTTATTTCTGGTTTCGTCATTCCATTTTTGGATTAATCGTGTTATTACTGGATTCGTTTTTTTAATTCTTGGATTTATTATTTTGACGATTAATTTATAATTTTATTTTTAGCTGATCATTTCATGCCGGACTAGTCATTCCATTGCTGGCGCATCATTCCATTGCTGGCGCATCATTTCATTACTCATCATCTCATCACTGGATTTCATTACTTAGTTTGTTAGACGCACCATTTATTGCTAAGCCCTCACTCGATGATACACAACAATGAGAAGCGTGCGGTTGAGACAGCGAGCTCTCCTCTCAGCAGTTGTGATAAGAAGTGCTCGCTTAGCATTCAAATAGCAGCAGCTTGATGCGTGTTATGATGTGTCTTATGACGTAAGGCCATCACAAAATTTCTTGAGCTCGTTGGAAAAGTTTGGCACACACATAGTATTTCTTCCTCAAATGCCATGTAGGTCGCTGTTCAATGAGAAATGTGCATATCGGCTGTAGTCCACTTCGGAATCTGTTGAAAGATTTTCTATTTCGTAGTTAATAATGATGCTTGCGTGAACCGTTATTTGCTTGCTTATTCACAACCGTCAAGAAATGCCAAAGTGGCGGCTCCAACTATCCTGCTTCCGAAGATTGAGCTACCGGATGCTGCTCGACAAATAATTGTACTAGTATAAATGATTCCCTCTTCGGCGTCGTCACTGAGTTTGTCCTTGATAAAAATTGAATTCCGGTGTTAGTTATAGGGAATAGCAACTGTCTGTTTAGTTACACTTTGAAAATGATATTGATCACTGCGGTCAGGAGCAGCTCACTGCACTCTGGAAGATTCTTATAACAAGTCTAACCATATCATTAACTTGACCACTGCACTTTCGTTACAACTTGCCTTCGTCTCGCCCGCGGCAGGAGGATGTGATGGTCGACGAAGGCTATCTCTGCAAATAGTTCTGGCTTGCGTCTAACTACGTCGCAATGGACGTCTCTTCGCAGTGGAATACGTAAAAGCGCCCCGAGCGCGGAAATGCTCACCGCTTTTTTAAAGTCTTGAAGTCGGACTAGATCTAAAGAGTACAAGCTTAAATGAGGATAAAATCGCAGCAGCACGAAGAGAACAGCATATGTGAAGTGGCGCTTGTCATTGCGCATGGTAACATAGCCAACGAACTTGACATCAACTTCATTTTAGATAATCTATGTTTGCCCTGGCCTTATTTCCATCACAAGAAACAAAGCGGGATTATTTTCTTTTCGCGACCTCGAATTCCAGAAAAAAAGACGACGAGCGGCCTCAGCACACATGTGTGGCGCGAGCAACTCGTAAAGCGCTAACTCTCGACGTAATACGAGCTACACATGCCACAATGCCAGCCACAATACACACACGCCACAATATACACGCTACAAGCTGAGCTCAGGTTTAACGCGTGCGCACAATTTTTAAACTAATGAAATAAATACTCTAATTCGAAAAAGTTGAGTCGGATGAGGAAACAATTATTCCAGAAGTCTTGTTCTGGTCTCTGAAGCTTTAAAGGCAAGTTTAACATACTGCGATACACGAGAAATGAATGCAAACCCTAAAAAATTTTGTATTGATAAATATTTCAATAAGTAATAATTATGATCTATTGAGCATCAGTAGTTTGAGGGAAGTGTTCCGAGCTGAAGTTTAGCACCGACGATTTCAGCAACGAAATGCTCCATGTAAATGAGTGAAATTAGCTAAATTGACGTTTCGTCAAATTGAGTAACGAAATCTCTATTGGCAGTGCGTCCTTTAAAATAGATTTTGTGTGAGAATTCCTCTTTTAAAACTTATTACAAATATGCCCTATTAAAATTTAGTATCATCCGATGAGCCTTATAAAGTTATGCATTCTCCATGTTACGGCTTTTTAAATTTTCTTCCTTGAAGTCAGTGAGATTGTGCCAGTAAGGACTGCGCAGTCACACTTCCCACGCTTCCTCACAAGTGAATTGCCCACACACCGGTGGATTTACCGACAAGTTAAGTGGTATTTAAAAATTTTTAACCGTGATTGGTTGCCGGCTTGTTTACTAGCAGGACCAGTCCAGAACTCTTCGCTAGGAGCGAGACGCTGTGCTACGTAGCCAGAGGAGACTATTTTTCCCGCTTCTACTCGCAATAGACAAACTTTTATTGAGTGTGAAGCCCTTGTCACTATTGAGAGAGTCGTAGCAATCGTTCGAGTCTTGACATTGTATATTCCGTGACATAGATGTATTTGTCTTGCTGGTGTTATTTATATATTTTCTCATTTCATTTGGCAATACTGCTCAACTTCATGTTTCTATGGCATTTTTTTCTATTACATTAAAAGAGCCGTTTTAGTTGTGTCGTTAGGGAAATAATAATAGCTCCACCATTTACGGATAGAGCAGATTGCATACTTCAGCCGTGGAACTGGTGAGATCCACCGAAGTGTAGGTAGATGCATTAACGTGATCGCAGAAAGTTTCGAATGTGCGAATATTCTCATGTCCTTCCGAATGTCTCGGTCGTTTCTTCCATGTCTCGCATAGTCCGTGCGAACTCGATTTTGTGTTAGGTTCTGCTGTCAAAACCAGAGTGCAGGGGCTCTAAATAAATAGGTTCTTTGGCCTCTTAAACGTTTTATTACGGGTTAATTCAACGCGTAGCAGCGTGAAGAAAAGAATTTATAGAAAATCTGAGTTTGATTATTCATTGACTAACTTTTGACATTAACGACACCAACAACAACCAGAGATGAGATGATGATAAAAGTATCCACATGTTGAAAATAGGCGTAGACCCATCATGTATCCCTGAGAATACATGTATTACTGCTCGTTACTTACGCACCTGCAGAGGCGCTGCTTGCATCCTACATTCAGAATTGCAACCGTAGTGTCTTGACGCAGGCCAACGCTAGTCCCGCTGATTGTGTCATTTATGAGCAATAGAACAAAAGAGGAATCATTCTATATTTTGTCTCCGCATCTCGCATGTTAAACCTACACATCAAGTCTCCGCTATAGTTCATCCTGTGATCGAAATGTTATATAGACCTACGCTGATTAGGTAACGCGGCTCGATCTCACTTTCTCAAGACCTGAAGCGTGGACTGGTCTCACTTTTACATCGGCCTAGACAATGCTGGTGCATTCGGATTTCGGTAAAGTATTTTAAAAAATAATTATTTGAAGAAAGATGTGGTGTACTGGTGATGACGTCATGTAAAAGTTCAAACCCGTTGCGTTCAATTAGAAAATATGCGTCATGATAATTCTTGCGAACTCCTCGATAATAATGGTAGGCATATTAAGAGATAAAGCACACAAATGCCGACTTACTCTAGGTGAAATCGTTGAGAAATATTTCACAATCCGTCTAACCAGTGGATTGAGATCCGCAAATAATTTCACATTGTTATTAATGAAATCTTTGTTGTTCCTCGTCATAACCTGAATCCGAGTAACTGAAAAATAAGTTCTTAAGTTGAATACAATTTCTTAAATTGAATACAAGTTCTTAAATTGAACCGGAATTTCGCAGGAAGCTTCAACTCAAAGCGTGTTGTCCCAAGCAGGCGGTCGGGCGGCGCGCGCATCAGACGCTCATATATGGCAAGAGATGCTTCGTACCCGCACCGGCGGACTGCGAGATTGTGCGATCCGCTTTCGTTGCGTCGGGGAAAGCTCCACCAAGTTGCAGCATCCGGTTTTCCGACCTGCAGAAAGGTCACTCTGCTTGCGCCAGCTGAGGTCTTAGAGCATTGAGGTCTGGGAGTCATTTCCTTAAAAAAATAATAAGAGA